GCAGTCGGTAACCCTTTGTTTTAGGTCACACAAAATCATAATATCAACAAGATGGTATATGTCTATACCGAAAGTCTATATATACAGGGTATAGGTGTATATATATTTAGGGTATATGTCTATATGAGTTACGCCAATTAATGCAAGGAATTTCAAAATCACCGGCGAGTGTCACCCTATTCCGATATAAATATTGTGTCATCAGTTTTCAACTTATAATGAGAAAGAGATACGTTCTTCATAATCATTCAATCATCTCTATAGCTATCCCAAAGAAGCTTACGCACGTGCAGTGTTTCACGACTGTAATCGTTTTGAATAAAACTGTTGGTTCCTTTAGGTTTGTTCAAACTGTGAATGACAGCCTGCTTTTCACTGTAATTTTTGAAAATAGGCTATCACTGGGCGTTGGCCGGTATGGCGGCCAAGGCGATAAATACGGGCTATAGATTCGCATTTAACTCCAAGTTTTTTTTTCGGAAATGTTGCCAACAACATCTTTTGTTGAAAAAGCCTCATTTTTCCTATTGTTTCCCATAATAACATAAAATATAATGTTTGATCTTCGACTGCGGTCTTTAGGATCAACAAGCTTTTTTTTTCTTTGTAAGACCGCTGAATTCTGAAGGGACAACGACGACGATTTAAGCACTGTATTTAAAGGGGAACTTTACTTTGACTCCTTCATAAGTTGCTCCAGTGATTTCAAACGTGAGTGAAGGTCACGAATAAGCTGTACATACTCGCTAAACTTGTTTTTTATCTCCGTAAGGTGAGCGTAAATATCGCCATTATTTCAGGGGCATATGCACACCTCGGAATCGATTGAGCAAGTCATAAACTAGAGCTGGCTACATACTACATACGGAAGAACGAACGCCGCACGTTCTAAACAGATTCGCCCCTAAAATCTAACACTCAACGACAATTGCTGCTTCATTTATCCAGGCATTTCAGTCCCCGAATAGGCGCCAAAGCGCAGGAATTCATCTATATGCACCGACGTATGCGGGTTGCTGTACTAAACTTCTGAGAAAAGGCCCTTAATTTTATTCAGTTAGCAAAATATACAATAGACCTGGCTTCCCCGAGTGTGCCATGCAGACAAAAAACAAAACCGCAAACGTTTCATACTACACAGTAGGAAACAATTGACGTGTTTGCGTGGTACGCGAACGACCAGCGCGGCAACTAAATCTACTGATCTCGCAGGGATTGTATCCCACCTTCGCCTAAACTACTTCACGGAGCGGCGACAGGTGGTGACACAGTAATACGGTGTTCTCTGGCAGCACTGACCGTAATTGATCGTAGTTTTCACGTCCCAAAACCACGATATGATAATGAGAAGTTCGGTATTAAACAGTGCTCCTGAAATTTTTATTATGTGGTGTTCTTTAACGTGCACTGACATATGACAGTGCATGGACCTCTACCGATTCACCTCCATCAAAATGCGACTTGGCGCGGCAGGAATTACACCCACGTCATTCGATTCAGCAGCCGAACACCGTAGTTTCTGTTCCACCGAGGCGGACTGATCGTAGTAAGAGACATGTTTTCAGATCCCGATGGCGCACTGTCCCATTCCTTTACACCATAGTATTATGTGTCCGCGAGGCATGTATCTTGACTCAAAGGTTGTGCTCCAATGCTCACCATAGACGGTCAAATACACAGCTAATTGGATAGCAGCCATCTTAAGTCAGATTCCAATTTCCAAAATAGACAGCTCCGAGAAGACGGCATTGAAAATCATAGTGGAAGGAAATACGTGTCATAGACAAATACGATGCAGGCTACTTTGCTGTCCAAACAAGATGACGGCTCATCGAAGTGCTAGGACTAGAGCAGACACTTCTCCAGACGATCAATTTGAGTAATGTTTCTTTTTTCTCTGGCTTTAACTCGAAATAAGTTATAGAAGTAACGGTGATGTTTGTTTATCTTGTCTTCTTTTCTCGACACGAGGTGGCGCCTGGTCGCGTAAAAGGCATCTAGGCATGTTCCATTGCTCAGACGACCCAGGCTCGACGCTCTCCTCTAAGCTGTCTGCGTATACTGTCTACGATGCTGTCTTCGAAATGGAACGCAGCCGAAGGAAGGCGTTGAGACCAGACGCGTGTTTGAGATGTCCGGGCTCTACGCGAACGATACAAATCCAAGCCAAATTCACATATACCAGCATTCCTGTGCATCCCACAAATCAGAGCGTCAATTTTTCCTGTGTAAGTGTAGAGTCTCTATGGCGTGGAGAAAGAGAATAACCAAGAAGAAGGCTGTCGACCTCCCCATGTACTCTGGGCTCGGCACCAATAGAGCGAAGATGCTGTATTTTTTTAAATTACTAATAATCCTTCTGCTTAGGTAATTGCACGAAATTTACCAACTCAATCGCCAGGTATACACAATTTGTGCATTTGTAATTTCAATTTCTTGGGTTTTTTTTTCAAGAGTGATTACCTACAACCCTCTGTTTTCCCAGCGATAGATGTAACTACCGCGAAGTCAGTTTTATTGTTCATGTTCATCCCGGGATTTCATATAGCTTCGTATTGGACGAAGGCAATAGAATAGGCGAAATAAAAGATGGAAATAAAAGAAAACTCCAGGCCTGTGTGGAACGCGCAGCACAGTCACAGGTACAAGTCAAAGCGCAGTCAAAGCTAGAAAAGCGGCCTTTCAGGGCGTTTTTTAAACGCTTTTGGCGAGGTACCTACTACGCCCGAAATATTCATAATTTTTCGTCGTTGGCCACCGTTCGCAAAACTATACTGCGTCATTTTAGGGGCGAAGCTCCTTATAGCGGTACCTGTTCATGCCTCGTAGCCATTGTAGTAGTGTGTCACAAGTATAACATTTTGACTTTCAAGGTGGTGCCGGTGAGAGATTTCTTCTGTGAGTTGTTGAACAATAAAAGATAGTGCTAAACGCACATGCCAATGGCTGCTAAGGGGGAATGAGAGACAGAAGAATTCGTCTTTTAGTTAACGCACATGCTGCGAATTTTTTATTGTTTAACAACGCACAGAAGACAAGAAAGGGTTGCAACGTTATACTTGCTGGGCGTAACCTCCTAGGTTTTAGAAAGGTTTAGTGAGCGTTGGGCCGCAGTGCCATGAATACAGTGAAGTAGTATATACCATGAACTCAAGGTGGTTAAAGGTGGGAAGTAGACACGAAGTGCAAGCCGTAAGAAAGTGTGCGTGTGCCTCCTCTCGTACAGTCCTTGGAATGTCCGCGGGATGGCGGTGCTTCTATATGAGGAATATATGATCAAAAGATGTGAGATGGCGGTACTTGGAGTGTTGAATAGGTGGACGAACGGACACATGGGCAGATCCATGGGCGAACGCACGGATCGCTGCATGGATGGATGGACGCATAAACGTACACAGGAGCGGATGCATGGACGAAAGCATGGACGGACGCACAGATGAACGTGCGGACGCACGGACGGCCGGATGGACGCACGGGTGGGCACAGAGCCGCACGCATGGATGGACGGAAGCAAGAACGAATGGACGGATGGATGCTTCGCCCCCCTATCCATCATTCACTCCATGGATATGCTGTCATTTTTTTCGAATAACCGCGGTATCCACTGCACGCTAGCTAGAAATTTTGTGCACTGTTCTATGCAGTGACTGACGACAATGAGGAATTATGCCTCAAATGAGTATGCACCACAGATGATAGGTGATCAAGAACAAGTTTTCTAATCGCTTGAAGCATTGGACGCAATTCACATAGTGTGACGCCTGAGTGTTCCTTACAAGCTCTAAACTGCTATATTAGTTGTATTAACACGATTCCTTTTCCGACATCAAGACTGTCTAAGGCCAGTTTATCACTGATTTTCCAGCACCGGCATGGCTCAGTGGTACAATACTGGGCTGGCGCGCAGCGGACCCACGTTCGAATCCCATTGCCTCCGTCGTATTTCTTGCGATAGTGGTTACGAACACCGGCGGTGGCACTGGCGGAAAACTACGACGCCGCGCGTGATCCGTGTTTTCGTCTGCTGTTACGGGTACGAGTGATGATTGACACCGGGTCGTTTTCGTGGCACGCAAGTGTTCTACCACACAGCAACGCGTCTGCTTTGGAATGCAGTGAGAATAACTTAATTTGCTTGGAAATGCAGCGAAAATAACTTTCATCCTTTGCAAACACAAGAGTCCTACTTGCATGCATCACAATACAACAGCTAATATCACAGTAATACTGTTTGGTACAAGCATAGATTGCCCTCAGGTACTAGAACTTGTTATTATCATAACGACTTCATTGTCTAAAGTCGGCCCCCCACTCCAAAAGGCACGGACGTTACAGCGCCTATTCCTTTCAGCTACGTAGTGGGTGCATTGCAAGTTCGAAAAAAAATTCACGTGCAAAATTGCCCTTATTTAAAGCATGCTACCCATTACACGGAATGCAGCCACATGCGCAAGCTTCACTGGCACAAGCCACTTTCACCCTTATATATTATATTGTAGTAATCCATAATTTGAACTTCTCGAGTAACATCATACAATGAAAAGTATGCACTTAGTGCTTAAAGCACTAATCATGAACACAATATCACTATCGCGTTCAACTCTCAAAGGCGAATCTCAAGGATTCCCCCTTTTTATATTTGTGACGTAAGTTTTCTACTATCGGTTTGCGCGTCACGGGATGCACTGAGCGCAATTAACGAAACAAAATCACGTTCATTTCGTACAGTACGCTGCTTGGCAATACACCTGGCATTGAAATCACGCTAGCTCCTAATGAGAGGGCTCATTTTACATTAGGCAGTTTTACAACAACGTTTGCGTTGCTCGGATGAGTACACTGCGTGCACCCAAGGCGTCAGCGTATGAGGCATGTGTAGGGGCAACCATCGCTCCCACACGGATCTGTGCACCCTATTTTAAAACTGTTACTTGCGAATTGGCAGCTGCAACAGCATTCTGGTGTAGTAAATCACGCGCAAACAGTGTCCATAAACTCACCGTGTAACAAGCCGAAGGTCAATGCCAGAATGGTGACATTTGTGGCCCAGTACGCGCCGAACATTCCCGCCACTTGGCACGCAGAGCCGACCACTATCAATGGCCAAGGTGCTGACCACCGCAGCAGGAATTTGCACAGGACACCTGAATACAGATAAAAAGTATAATTAGGTACCGAAAAAAAGTTCTTTCTCCATTGCACCCTGTGCAAGAACGACACTGTCGGGCACGTTTATTTTTGTTTTAATCACATTCACGGATACACAAGGACGCAGAGGAAAGAGGAAGAGAGCAAACTGGCAACTGCGACCAGGCATTACCACCGCAAATAAAGCAAGATAAGTACCACAGCTTCTCATATACTTCTAATTGGTTTGGAATAACCGAACATAGGCTGTTGGTCACTGCGACTGGCTGCAATGTTTTACGCCAGGGGCCGGGAACCTGCGGCCCCCGGCACGGCTTCAGAATGTTTCCCCAACATTTGTCAATACCCATTTGAAGGCCAATATGGCGCTCACCACGGCTGCTTTGGATAGTTTCTATGCACATACGCGTGTTTGCCGCGCCAGGGCATGTGACGCGCCACTTCGTTCAGGGGGTGAGTCACCCTTTTACGTAGGATTGGTGGCTAGGCTGCTGTCCGGACGGTCGTGGCTTGGATCCCAGTCCAAGCGGTTGAATTTTGATGAAGGTGAAATGGATAGAGGGCCGTGTACTATGTGGTGTCAGTGCGCGTTAAAGAACACAGATTCTCGACATTTCCGACGCCGTCCACTACCGTGTTCCACATAACATATAACAATGTTGTTTTGGGGCGTGAAACCTCAAATATTATTACTGTTAGGAGATAGCATTTTAGTATTCCAAGTTATTAGTAATACTAGAGACGTCAACACATATATCGCCTTTTCATCGGCTGTCATTTCAGTGCCATCTGGAAGCTTACTGTCGCTTTGAGTCTCTTGAAATAATGATGCCCGCTTTTCATGACTATGATAACTTTTATGTGAGCCCAACGCCGTTCAATAGTAAAAATAAACAGTGTAACAGCTCAGTTGTACTCAGGCGCTAACATATCCGAGAAGACGCTGAATTGTACAAATATGCAAATTGCAATATGGCAAATACTAGCCGTGCAAATGCAGAATAAGATATATCTTATGCAGAGAATATTACAAAGACCATGCTGGTAGGTCATCATTATGCCCTAGCAGTGCGATATGCAAGAGCATGTGTTCCTTTTCGCCTGTTTGTACTTCTTACGCTGTTTGTACGTTTATTATGACATAGTCACTATAGATATAATAGACATGAACTTTTATTTGTGTTATAGATCTTCATGTTGATAGGAATATTTGACAAACTGAATACAAGAAAAAGAACAGTGGGCAGGGAATGCTTGGCGCCTACTTAAAAATTCTAGAGGACCGCGTTGCGCGGAGGTAGCCCAGAAGGCATCCACGAGCGTAACGCAGTGATGAACTATTCTGCTAAAGTGTTGTTGCGAAACTGCTGGTATTATAAAGAACTATCGCATAAGGTAAGAACTTGCACAATAAACATATGCATGCTTCTGATACCGGCTGCAGTATAATACGCTGCGGTAAAGCAGCAGGAACGTGACAGATTAGATTTATTGTACTAATAAACCATACTTATAAGTGAACGTAGCTAACAACGAGTAAGCAGCAAAAAAAAGACGAGGGGGGGGGCAAGAGAAAAAAGAAGGAAGTGTTGCAAACGCACTGCTCTTGCTTACACTAATTTAACAGATATTTAAAAAAAATCAGCCTTGTGTGACTTGCATATACATTATTTTCGAAGGTGCAGTACAGTGGAACGGCATTCACGGTGCAGAAAATTCTAGTTATAATGCTATTCACTCTATTACTCAGAAAATATGTTATAATCTTACGTCGATTGACAGCAATGAAGTGCTTTTAGCTGGTACATATAGTTCTTTATGTTATCGGGTTACCGGATACCGAAGAGAAAGTGTGCTTTGCGGACCTTTATGGAACGTAAACTCTCAAATCTCCAAATCTACTTTCATTCGCGTGTGTTGCTGTCACGCAACAGATGGAGTGTCCGCAAACGATATTAGTTTTGGGGACACTCCAGCGGACGTGTCAAAATGAAGAACACCATTTATCACCACATTCTTTCAATGAGACTATTAATGCAAGAGTGACCTCTCATAGCGAAGCCGTGAACGTGAGAGCCCTATGACCTCTGGGCGGCTCGATAAGTCGCGCCATCTAGTGAAGTTCATCTGGACGAGGCAAGCACAATATGTTATTGCGGTAATATCGAGTGCCCTACTTCTGGTGCAAATGTCTTGCTGTGACAGAATCATGAGCGATATGTGTGTTTATACGTGTTTATTCAAGGACTATGAAGCGGCCAAAGAGCGACAGTACTTGATATTGAATGGGAAGAATGGGGATGTTAACTGGCCCTATAGGGGCCTGAAATTGCTCACGCATAATGGCAAGTAAAACATCTTAGTGTGGGATGCCGGGTCGACGAAGTACGAATCTCAACATGAAAATATAGCTATCTATTCAATATATTGGAAAAGCATCGGATCGAGCATACTGACGCTACGCTCGTCAGAGGTATCCGAGTAAGGTTGAAACCAAAGTCAATCTGAATAGGTCACGAAAGTGGGAACTAAAAGTTTCCCGATACCTATTTTCAAACACATCTACAACCGCGAGACCATTGAAGCGCGACTAGGAGAGTAGGGCACAGGTACACCAAAAAATTTCTCGAACAGTTATTTTCAATAGCTTTTTATTTGTTACAAAAACTAGGACATTACTTTATTAAAGCTTTATTTTTTTGTATGTGGTAGAGCGAAGAATTCTTTTCGTTTGGTTTTAGAAACAGCGGGTACATGCAGGCAGTCTGTTAACATGCACCAATGGTTTTGGGGGCGTATCAACAATTTGTTAGCAGAGCTTGTGTTTAGTTCGACGCGTTCTTCGGTTTGGCGCTTTGTCACGTAAACAGGGCATCACTCACTTTTTCGTTGCGGTTTCGCGCGTACGTACCTTCAGCAGTTTACTTATTTTTTATGTGCTGTTTGCTGGTGGGATATTTCGGAGCTGAAATAGCTCAAAGAATGTGTAGATAGCCGCTCCTGTGATTACCGACTGCTTTCGCTGGCGCACGGCCAACGTGCCCTCGCCATTGGTGACTGTGAACGCGACAGGCAAAGCAACGAGACACGGTACTCTATGGCTGCCAAAGCAATATTTTGAAAGCTGCTGTCTCGCTGCGGTGGTTTTCGATGGTGGGGCAACACGAGTTTACGAAATAATATGCTATTGTGCTCGTGAACAATTGTCTTACAACTGCCTCTGCAACAGTTTTTTGTGCACATTGCAAGTACGTCATTCGTCTAATAAAACAAGTTTTCTATATCTTGCTTTCTGTGTCTTTTCTTTACCACATGCAATTAGCGAGACCCAAGGCGCAGTAAAATTGCGTAATAATAAAGGCGCGTAAGAAGTCAGCAATGAAGAATTATAATTTTGAGCCATGTAGGGCAAATTCGCGACGTAAGGTTGAATTTGGTTGGCACATAACGGCTGCCTTGAAATGCCGGTGGAAACGCTCGATAATTCTGTTGGCACTGCGGAGGTAACAGGTGGCCCTCAAGTGTTCAAAACCGATTGTTAGTATGATGAGCCTGAATAGGCGCGACTCGTACTGCCATCCTTAGTCGGTGGTTACACGGATGGAGGCACCAAAATGAGCAATTAAGCCGCTGAAGAAGGGCGACGTGACGTCTTCCCCGGTGAGTTTTTTCGAGGGGCCGTGCCTCGGGCCATCAAGTGTACCGGTAAAGGGCAGTTGCGGTAGGGCCCAGCCGGGGGAAAGAGTCATATGATGTCGAAGTGGACGTGCCCGAACCGACCAGAGGGCAGAGGAAATGTTTCTAGTGGGGCGTGACGTGCCTGGTTATTTTGGCGCGTTGTCGTTGAATGCAAGAGCACGCTCCCATGCGACAATCCCGCTTCATGGAGGGCCAGCCTTAGCGGTCAGCCACAAAGTGTGTAGAGAAGCGTATGCCGGGGTGGCTGAGGTCGTGGAGCAGGTTAAAAAGACCATGGCGATGGGACAGGGACACAGAGGGCCTGGTTCGTCTTGTCGACGTATCGCAGCAGATTGTGGTTGCCAACCTTGGAATGTGGAGTTCATGTTGCTGTAGTAAGGAAATGTTCTTGAGAAGATTCTGCCATTCGGGGTCTATGGTCTGAGCCTCGGTGAGAACGTCCGCTGTTATCTGCAAGGAGCTTATGGTGGCTACACGTGAACGCGCATCGGCAACCACGTTGTCTTTCCCGCTGGAATGTTGGATGTCGATGAACTGTGTGATGAACGAGAGTTGGTTCGGCTGAAAAGGTGGGATATTTTCGCAACGTTGAGAGAAGTTGCAGGTAAAAGGCTTGTGATAGGTGTAGATGGTGCAGTTCTGTGCTTCTAAAATATGGTGAAAGTGTTGCACTGGTTCATGTATCACCAGAAGTTACCTGCAGTAAACTGTCGAATTCGTAGGGACAGCGGCTGTGCTTTCGCCGGTCGACTTAGCCTTTGAAGGGGTCGCTTTCCAAGCTGAGAGTTTCCTGGAGAAGAATACCAAGGGTTGCCTGGTGTTGTCCACGTGTGTCATCAGGGCAGTGCTGACGGCGAAGCTAGAGGCGTCCGAGAAGAGTCCCAAAGCAGTTTCAGGCACGTCATGCACGGGATGGGGGATTAGCGTGGTGATGCAGAGCCTTGCGCTTCTCAAAACTTTGCACCAAAATCGGTGTCAACGTGACGGGCTAGTTTCCTCGTAGACCAAAAAAGCATCATGAAGGGGCGCCTGGTAGTCGGAGGCGTGTGGTAAGAAACGTCTGTAAACGTTTCCTATGCCGAAGAAACGGCAAAGGTCATTAGCGGTGGAGGGTTTAGGGTACTTTTGCAAGTCAGCGATGAGTTCAGGAGAGAGTCAAGTTCCCTTTGACTAAACTTCGTTGCCGTGTAAATAAACGGTGGAAGCACCGAGCGTGTTCTTCTGGGGGTTGACGAGCAGGCCGTGGTCGAGGCGTTAGAGAATTCTTTGTTGTGAGGTAAGGAAAACACAAATCCTC